CATGGGCCGGCCCATGGCTCAGGGAGAGTGTGGTGCTGATAACACCAAGGCCACGGGTTCGGATCCCATATAGGGATGGCCGGTTTGCTCACTGGCTGAGCGTGGTGCTGACAACACCAAGTCAAGGGTTGAGATCCCCTTACCGGTCATCTTATTAAAAAAAAAAAAAAAGAAAGAAATTGTTTACCTAATCAAGTTCCAAAATGATGAACAGAGACAGTGAGCACCATAGAGCAGAGAGGTCCCCGTTGAAGGTTTCAAAGAGAACATGGCATTTGAGAGACAGGCAGGGCTTGGATGAATGATCAGGGCAAGGCGGGGAGGTGAGAAGAATCTATAAACAAGAAGCCGTGTGAGAACTGGCCTCACAGAATGCAGGGCTTACCGCAGGGAAGGGAAGAAGGGTGTTTAAGAAGGGTGGGGCTAGAGGGCTACTGCAAAAGGCTCTTAGGCAGGGAGGTGGCCTCACGAAAGTGGAATTTTAACACAATTATCTGTCAGAAGTGAACAGGATAGGTTAGAATGTGGCATGAGTTGTCAGTTTGGCCTGACCTGCAGTTGCAACCAAGGGTGGGAGACGAGATTTCACAAGCAGATAAATGCAGACAGAGGCCACTGGAGCAAGTAAAACATGGGAAAATCAAGAGAAATTTGAAAGAGCAGCTAATAGTGGGGCAGGCAAAAGTGACCGTAAGTTTTGCAATTTACAGACTGGTCCCTCCCCCACAGTGCTGCCCGGGGCAGAGGGTGACAGTCATCAGAAACAAAAGAGAATTGTAAAAAGTTTACCTTGGTTTATGATGGACATTATCAAGGCGGTGACACCCACTTTTATGACCTGTCATTATCGCTTTAGAACTGGAGACATTCCACACTGACCTGAGCTCCAGGATCTTTCCCCATATTCTTCTCCGTTATTTTTTTCCTTGCTGGCTGGTACAGGGATTGAACCCTGGACCTTGGTGTTATCAGCATCAACTGAGCTAAAAGGCCAGCCTCCTGTGTTATTCTGATCTTCACAATTGTCCAAGATTAGTACAGTATTTTTATTATTTTTCAAAAATGTCAAATATGAGGTTAAAAAAAGGGTAAGTGTAGTTCCACCCAGCCAGGAAATAGCAAAATGAATGTTTGAACGCAGGGAATTTGGCTCCAAATGCCATGTTTCTTCCACTGCCTCAAACCTGTTAGCTCTCAAGAGATTTAAAGTCCAACGGGGGGGAGAGTTATACGGGAAGTAAAAGAATGCACGTGACGCTATTACTAGTAATAAACAACTGTGGTAAAGTCAAATGGGACAAGAGCCAAAGGAGAAACCTGGAAAGTTTAATTCTAACCAGTGGAATGGGGAAGGAGAACGTTGTGGAGATGGGAGCATTTCCATAATGCCTGAAGGCTGTGTGACATTTCAGCAAGCAGGGACACTGCAAACTAAGTATGTGACAGGGCACAGGTCCGGCTGCCTTCCCACTTTTGAAAACAAACCACTCTAAAGTCATACATTGGTGGGAATGGAAGTCAGCTTTTATCCAGGAATCCCGGTGACCTGGGAGAGATGTTAGGCTAACCCATCTCTCCAGTAAACCTGAAAGAGGATGGCCAGACTAAAGCCAGCTCCAGGACTCAGATTAACTGAGGGATTTTTATTTATTTATTTATTTATTTATTTTTAAAGATGACCGGTAAGGGGATCTTAACCCTTGACTTGGTGTTGTCAGCACCACGCTCTCCCAAGTGAGCAAACCGGCCATCCCTATATAGGGATCCAAACCCATGTCCTTGGTGTTATCAGCACCACACTCTCCCAAGTGAGCCACGGGCCGGCCCTACTGAGGGGTTTTTAAAGAGGGGTCTGAGAGAATGGAACATGGGAAGCGACAAGCAAGAGGGAGGGGGACGTGAGCTGTGGGGGCTCTGCGCAAGGAGCCGGGTGCAAGGTCTCGCCATGGCTCCGTCTGGTTTCTGCTCCCGTCCCTGCTGTTATCTCAGGGTCCTGCAGGAGGGGTGGAGTCTGCGCAGCTTTAGGGATGTCTTCTTTGGTTTTCCAGGGTCTGGATAGTACGTGCCTCAAGGCAAGTTTGCAACTCCAGGTTGACTGGAAAACAACTTTACATTCATGTAAATAATATCATCTTGCCCCATAACCAAGTTTCAAATACCAGCTACCCATGGGAAAAGAGGAAACTCAGAGAAACGCATGCTAAGCTGGTTTTAGGTCCCAACATGGCTTCAGTCCTGCTCACACCAGCACTCCTGAGTTCTGATTCTGGGCCCCCATCCAACAAGCCACAGAAAAGCTTCATCTCAGCTGTTCTTACTCCTCTGTCCCCTCCCCCAGGATGGTATCTAGAGCTTCAGGACATCCGATGTGCTGCCAAGGCCTGGGAGGGGGCAGCTGGTTCTTAGCCATTTCAGTAGCTGCTGAGACAGCCACTGTCCCTGTCCCTTGGCTCTTTCAGGTTCCTCCAAGTTAGGCGTGAGAATTTTCTGACACTGTCTGTGGTCCTATCTTCCTAGACTCTTGAGTGCAACCATTTCCTTTTACGGGTCTTGTTAGACCCTTGGAACGCTGCCAGGAAGCAGGGTGCAGGGGCCCTCTGACCTTGGGACTCACAGATCCCTCTTTTCTCTGTACTCTTCCTCCACTCACTCCACTGCACACAATGCCTTTCCAGAGCAGGGACATGGTAATAGGAGCTAGTAAAGTCCTTCTCCCTCCTAACTTCTCCAAGATATTTTACCTATTTCACCAAATCTTGAACATGGAACTGACTCTTGACTGTTGGTAGGGTGGGGGGTGGGGGTGGGCGGTGTG